AGGGAAAGACTGGCCCACTCCTTTTAGCAGTGTGTAGGCTGATCATACATTAGCAATCTCCATGTAGTATTGTTGTACCTACCTAGAGTAGTCTTGAACCTGCAGTTAATGGATGTACAGAAACATCAGCCAAATATACAGCTAGTTACTGGATTGTCTGAGATGGTTTTGTACTTGTCTCTTCTACCATTGAGGTTGAACTGGTGAGGTAGCTTCAGGGTTTGCACTATACATTCACAGCACTTCTAAATTTAGCAGTCTTGATTTCAGTATTTTTCTGTCCTCCAGCTCATGTTTCTAGTAATTTCTTTGCTGAAAAACATGACTTCACACAATTCTTAATTTCTAGAGCTTTCTAAAAAGCAGAAAGTTCACTGTTGTGCAAATACAATATTAGAGTGATACATATGCTTCTTCTTTCACTGTAGCTTATAAAGATTCTTTCTGTGCTACAATTTTATTAATTAAGATGGTCTTTTAAAAACTCTTCTTTGTAGACTTACAATAGCAGCATTAGGAGAAAAGCTTAATGATTACTGGAATGAAATGAAAACGAAGAAAAATGAAGAGCATCCATTAGCTTTGCCAGTTGAGGAGATACAGTGAGTATTGCTTCTAAATAGAAGCATTTTATGCAGTGTTATTGCTGTTCTACACTCAGTCATGAGAATGAACTTGTCATGTGAAAGTTCTGGTATTTTTTCAATCACAGAAAACAACCTGATCAGACATGGGTGCAGTGTGATGGGTGTCTGAAATGGCGGAAGCTGCCAGATGGAATCGAGCATTTACCAGAAAAGTGGTACTGCTCACTGAACCCTGACCCGCAGTTCCGGTAAAATGATGGTTTGATGAATATCTAAATACTGCTTTTAGTTCTTATTTTATCACTGGTCGTAAGCCTGAATGTTAAGGTCTTTCTGTCAATTCTTTTCTTCCCTGCTTAACTCAGAAATTGTAACGTGCCAGAAGAACCAGAAGATGATGATTTAATACATCCTACGTATGAAAAAACTTACAAGAAAAAGTGAGTAGTAGAGACTTTCTGACAAGTGTCTCAGCACTAGGAAGGAATGTGAAAACTAATGCCCTTTTTTCTCACCTGTGGTACAACTGCAGTTCTGAGAAAATACCCAGCAGAAAATAATGCCTTGAAATCAAGACTTGATCCTAGCAATGAATGGAACTGTTCTTTACTCTGTTATAGGCATGTTGGCATTACATTCAAATTTCTCTCTTTGACTAATACCTGTTTGCTCTCCTAAATCAAAATTAAGTCATAATAACAGAAGCCCTTTTCAGTAATAACTACTAAGGAAAGCAATGTGGTAATTGGTGTTCTAGTACATCTCTCAAAAAGGGGCATTGTTTCATAGTGGTAAGCAGTATAAGAATAGTCTGCAATGTTTGAGATCACAGAGTCACCAAGGCTGGAAAAGACCTTTAAGATCATCAAACTGCAAGCTATTAGAAGACCTTGTTTAGGTAACTTATTTTCAAGGTCCACATTGAAGCAGCCCAGTGCCTTAATACATTCATTTAAGAATAAGAGGATTCTTAGCTAAGGTATATGGAAAAAAACGGACTTGGGTAATTTTAACTAATGTTGGCTAGCATTTTAGAGGTGGGAATTTGGGGGGGGGAGGTGGATTAAGTTCTTAAAAATCTTAATCTGAGAGAGAACTTATTTGAAATTAAGCTATATTAGATTCTAAGTTTATTGTATCTAGCTGAGATAAGGAATATTGTGTTTGCTTTTAGATTTTGAGGTTGGTTTGTTTTTATAATGAATTAACATTTTTAATCTAAGCTGTTAATTTTCTTTTTTCCTTGCTACTGTGCAGAGACAGGGAAAAACTGAAGAAGCGACTAGAGTACCACCAGGTAACTCTTGAGGTTGATAGGAAATGGACTTTAGTAGCAGAGTTGTCCTTAGGGGCAACAATACCATGCAGTTTGATCAGATAGGCCAGGCTCTGAGTTAACTTGCTTTAGCTAGTGGCAAGCTAACTGGTTCAACATTCTGTTTTGTTTTAATGGCTGTACGGGTTATGTTCACTATTAGTAAACAAAAAATCCCCATCTTTGCTGTCTGATGATGGAAAATACACCATTGCTTTCTATGTAGTAGTTAATAAAGAGTTTGTCCCTCTCACAAAATAGTACTAGAAAGATTGAAGTCACTCATACCTGGTTTTGTGCCATGACATCTAATTATTGAAAGTGGTTTTGTTGTAGAGAGATGTGATGAGGATATGAAAGTAAAGATGTCCATAAAGCTGGTGGGGTGTGTGGATGGACCGACTTGTTAGAGCTGTAGTTTTGCAAGGAGGCACTCAAATTCAAATTAAGTGCAGATGCAGATCAACATGGTTGAGTGATGAGAATGTGTGGATTGTGAATCAGAATCAAATTTCCTAAGTGTGATTTAGCTTAAGTTGTTTTTAAACTAAAGTGCTAGCCTAAAATAACTCCATTTCTGGAGAAGATATTTTGCATGTGCTGTTTTAATCTATATATTTCATGGTATTTTTCTGGCATTACTTTTACCCAAGTACAAAAGTAATTTCTTAAAATAAAGTATTGTTCTTTTTAGACAAAGAATTAATCATGAGCAGCTCTTGCCTGAGATTCTACATGGTACTTTAAAATAGCTGTATCTAGACAAAGCAGGACTGTAAGATCAGAAAGCTGCTTTCTGACGGCAGTAAATCTGTGCATGGAGAGGAGTGTGCAACTGGTGTACAGCATTCAAAGGCCTCTGAGAAGTCTGCCAGAAGTCTGTAATTTGCTGCTTTCTGGTATGTTGTATGTTTTAAACCAACATGGAAGGAAATACTTCACACACATCAGTAGGGTTTGGGGGAGGTGTTGTGTGATCATTAAGGTAAGAAAACTGGGCTTTGCATTGTGGAGTCTAATTAGCCTTTCTTACTGCAAAATAGTAAGCCTGGGTTCAAGGAGCACCTTGCAGTATACATAAGAAATGTAGGTCAGAATTGTAGGTGTAGGCAGATAGATAGAACTGCTTGAACCTGTTTTGAAGAATCTACTAATGTATGTTTCTTTTCATTCTTAACTAATATTATCTTATAGGTCACTAATGAAATATTTCTAGTAACACCTGTTTCTTCAAGTAAAGACTTCAAGACATTCTCAGCTGTGACTGGAAAGGAAGCTGTTCCAAGATCAGTTTTACCAGAAACATCAAATGCTTCTGTCAAAAGACCTGTGCATATTTTAAATAGATCAGTTTCTTCACCTCATTCTGATTCTGATAACAGGTTAGTGAACGTGTACAATGTAGATGCCTATGTCTTCCTACAATTAATAACTTGTTAATGAAAATGGTGGTGTTGGGAATAGTCCCATCTTCAAGTGATGTCTTGTCACTTTGGGGAATATAGGAAGCAGCAGGCTGATTAAATCTACCTAGAAACCTTGTGAAATATGGAAGTGAATGCAGCGAAAAATACTGTGCACTGGCAGGGAAGATTGCTTAGTGGTTTGCCTCTTTAGGAAAAGATTGTGGTGTTCTAACCACACTCTGCAGTATGTTTTCTTTCACCTTTGTTGGTTAAGGAACAGGTAGTGGGGGGGGGGTTCCTGCAAATACTGAGTCTGAGTCAGTTTCAAAATAAGGTGTGAACATAATGATTCAGTGTGTGGATGTTAGCTACTTGTTTTTACAGGAAAGCATTTCTGGCTACACATCTTAAAATACTATGCAGGGGGATGTCACTTTCTAGCTATTGAGTGGTAGTTTTTAATAGTGCTTGCAGAAACACGAAACATAGTTTGAAACAAGTGACTTGGCAGTATTTGAGCAATATAATAATTGGTTTAATATTTTGCTTCTCAGTCTTAAACGGAAGACACCTAGTTGTGTGACACCTGTGTCTTTAAAGACACCTCGATTAAATGACAAAACATTCAACAACCATGATGATGATGATGTCATTATTTTAGAGGAGAGCAGTACTCCAAAGCCTTCAGCAGATGCTGATGCTCCTGTGGTAAAAACTGAATGCATTGATTTGGATCAAGAGAAGAAGCAGAAAGAAAACTGTGATGTTGGAGAACCTTGCAGTGCAAGTACTTCAGAACCAAAAAGTGAACAGCTGACCTCAGCAACACAGACAGAGCTTCCAAACTTAGTTGTTAAAAAGGAAGAGGTGGAAGATGACACCGAAATTCAAGTTCCCAGGGCACAGATGGAAACTGAACAGCACAATGTTAATGGTGTTTCTGAGACATCTGTAGGTCTTGAAAATGAACTGAAAAATCAGCTGCGGTTGTTAAACAAAGAAAAAGAAATGTACCAAAACAAATGTGAAGTGTTAACAAAACAAGTAGAAACACTGGAACAGAGGATTTTAGAAATGAATAATAAGTATGTAAAAAAAGAAATGTGCCATCAGTCAACTGAGACAGTTCCTTCATTTGAAGGAGAGAATGGTCATGAGAGAAGTTTGGCAGAAGTGACTGTTCTCTATGAACAGGCCTTGGAAGAAATAGCAAAACTAAAGGAACAATGCAGTACCCTGCAGAACTTAAAAACTGAATGCAGCAAGTGTGCTGATGGTGAAAATAAGAGCGAGGTAGATGAAATTGCTGTGCAACTGGATGATGTTTTCAGGCAACTGGACAAGTGCAGCATTGAGAGAGACAGATATAAAAGTGAGGTAAGTTTGTTAAAACAGCTATATCCTTCAAATTAACAATTACATAATTTTTATTTAATTTTATTTTGTACATGAAGTGTTGTATAGTTCAGTCCACTAACTAGTTAATCAAGCCACCAAAAAGGGGGAAGAAATTGTAAATTTGCCTATGAGCTTTGGTTGGGTTTTTTTTTTCCATTAATAGAAATAAGCAAACTGGAGAGAGACTGCAAGGCTTTGGAGTGGCTCTGTCTGCAAGATAAGATTGAGCAGGTTTAGAGGGGGCACACATACAGTGGTTCAAATGACAGCTGGCTATTTTTAAGCAGTTTGTCTAGCTTATCTCGCAGAAAATGTAATTTAAAACAGTTAGCAAATTTAAACTATTTAAATCTGTCCTTATCTAATCCACAATCATTTTACTCGATTTATGAAATTATTTTTACTTACTTGCCAGATTGAACTACTAGAAGTGGAAAAAAATCAAATTGCCTGTCAGTGTGAAGAACTGAAAGCAGAAGTCGCACAGTTAAAAGCTTCAATTCCACAAGCAGTAGCATGTGCAAATGATTCTACCACCAGTAATGTAGAAGACTCTGTAAATTTTTCTGATGGAGAAAGGTATCAATTTTGTTCATTCTAGACTATATTTCAGGCATGATTTTGGTTGGCTGACTGTATCTGAAACATCTTGATGAAGGCTATGTCTGATAATTGTATAATAAAATGCAATGCTTGGAATTCTTTACTACTGCCTCTTGTGACTCCTAACTCAGGAACAATTTTTAATCAAGTGATTTCTTTAATTTTTTTTATTTAGGTATTTGTGCGAGCAAGGTTGCCCATTGCATGATAGAATGCCATACTGACACTTTTAAAATATCAAAAATGTTATACAGTTTCTAGACACAACTTGCAGAACAAGAAGAGAGAAAGGAGGCAGGAAAGAGGTTAATCTTTAGCTTGTGCTGTGTAGATGAACTTCACTTTTATATTCTATTTTTCTTTCTTGGATCGATAGCATTCTACTGAAGAGAGTTTGGTTGTTGTTTTGAAACTTAACTTTCTGTAAGAACAACTTGCTGCAGACCAATTCTATGGAACTAGATTGTGTCTAGAGTGTATCTTTGAGTTAAATGAGGGATTAAACTTAGAAATAGAGAGCTTGCAGCTCTTGGTTAGCAGAAATAGCAAACACAGAGAAGTAGTACACATACCAGATGGAAGTAGGAATGAAGAGTCCAGCAGGACTATAGTCACACTGCCTCAGCTTTTAGGATAGAACGGAAAGCCAGAGCTCAGCTGGGGTGAAAACTGACAAGGCCTGTGAAGGGCAACCAGAGGGGCTTCTGTAAGCACAGTAGCAGCAGCAGGAGAACTTAAGAAAAAAGTGAGCCTGCTGTTCAGTAGTGCAGGTGCTTAGTAATTAAGTGAAGGACACAAGTTGTGTGAGGCACAAATTGCTGAGGTACCTAGTACGTTCATTACCTTGGTTTTTACTGCCCAGGTCCATGAGCCAAGTAGTAATCTTAAGTAGTGAAGCATTGCCTGTAATAAAAGGTGACTGAAGTAAGCAAGTTCAACATACACAAGTCCATGGGACCAGATGAGACGCATCAGAGGGAGGTGGTCAGTTGATGGAGAGTTGGCCTTGTGATAATACTTCCAAAAATTGGGGCAGTCAGCATTCATGATGTCTGGAAATGCCCATATTTAGGACAGGTAGAACTATAGACTGATCAGTGTAGCCTCAGTCCCTGAGAAGATACCATGGAGCTATTCTTCTTGGAAGCCACCTGCAGCCCCATGATAGTCAAGGTGATCAGGAACAATCAGTGTGGGTTTACTGAGGGCAAATCAAGCCTTTGCAGCCTCATTGAATTCTACGGTGAGATGACCAGCTCTTTGGACCTACCTTTTAGTAAACCTTTCAACGTGGGCTGCTGTAATTCTGTGATAGTGAAGTTTGTGAGATACAGTTTGGATAGGTAAAGTAGAAGGTGGGTCATAAAATTGACCAGACTGCTGAGCTCATGGATCAATATCAAGGCTAGTAATAGTTAATGCCTTCATTAATGGCCTAGGTGACAGGGCAAATTTAACTCCATAAATTCATCATGACATCAAATTGGAAGGAACTATTGATACTATGGTGGGTAGGACTGCTGTTGAGGGATCTTGACAAATTGGAACAAAGCGTTGAAAGAAACTACCTGGAAGGTCAATGAAAGCAGCTGCAAAGTTCTGCACCTGTGCTGAAAATACCCCATGCAGCTGAACAAGTTGGAGACTACTGTAGGAAAGAAGCTCAGAAGAAGATAGCCCGTGATGCTGGTGGACTAAAAGTTGAATGTGAGTCAGCAGTGCACTCTTGTGGTGGGAGAGCAAGAGTGCTTTACTGGGCTGTATTTGCAAGAGTGCAGCCAGCACTACTGGCCATTGTGAGGCAAAAAATAGAGTATTGTGTCCAGTTTTGGGCTCCGTGGTATTAAACTGGCATATTGGAGCAAGTCTACCAAAGGGCCACCAAGATGGGTGGGGGCCTGGAACATCTGATACAGAAGGGGAAAGTGAGGGGAGTAGCCTTATGAAGAGTGAGTTACTTTGAAATACTACTGTTCTCTTCTGATGCCCTCTTATGAGCACAGGGATGGGATGAGAGGCAATAGGCACAAGCTGCAGCAAGGGAAATTTCGTTTAAATATTAGAGGCCAGAAGTGTTCACAGCAAGGGTGGTCAAACTCTGAAAAAGGGGCCTAGGGAGATTGTGGAATCTCTGTATTTGGAGATTTCAAAACACAAGAAGGTCCTAACCAACCTTACTGGAGTTCGCCCCTGAATGTGTGTTGCAAGGCCGGGGGAGGAGACAATAGACTGGATGATTTCCAGAGACCCCTTTCAATCTAACTTTTTCTGTGGTTCAATCTCCTCTTTATCTTCCAGTGTTTCATTTTCTTCCTAAAGCATCTGACTTGTGCTCCCTAAAAGAACTGGCAAATATGTGCAGGACTTGTCATTAAATTCTACCACAAGTCCTGTTGGCATATGATGGCACTGTGAAGACTGGCTACTGGAGATGATAAAGGAGCTGATGGTAGAAGGAAACGCTAAAGAGAAGGGATGGGTGATTTGGAAGCAATTTGAGCAGGAAGACAGACAGAGCGAGGGAATCCAGGAAAGAAAGCAAAAAGAGAAAGCATAGCATTTTTTCCTGCACTATGTATAACTCTTAACTTATTTCTTCTTTATATTTTAAAGCCTTTAGACAAGCTACTCTTTCTTGCCTTCTCTCTTCTTTTTCTCTTCTTTTGTTCCTGTAAGTGGTGGTAGTTTGTGCTTCTAAATGTATAAAAATACTGGAGTTTGATACTGGTTTGAGAAAGAAAAAGGTGGTGTGGGATAAAGGATGCTTATTTGGTAACTTAAATAAAAGCATTCAGAAGTACTTCTGGTTTAGTTTTGGAAAGGCAGAATTCAGTTTACTTCTTAGTATTTGTTTGAAACTAAGGGAAATGTACACCTTCAAAATTAAAACTTGAGAAGCTCAGCTTTGAAAAACTGGTAGATTTTAAAATTACCTTGATGCAGCTTTAACTGCATCAGTTTATTGTTGCTTTATGGAAGTCATGCATGGAGTCTTTCCAGCATAGAGTATTAATCTAGCTTTGTTAAATAAAGTACTGTGTATTTGAATGTAAAACTTCATCTTTATCTAATAATATCTAATTATTTATTTACAGCCTGAAACTACGCTCTCTTCGAGTGAATGTCGGCCAACTTCTAGCTACAATCATGCCTGATCTAGACTTGGAGCAAGTGAATTATGATATTGATGTAGTAGATGAAATTTTAGGACAAGTTGTAGAACAAATGCATGAAATCAGTAGCACTTAATATCTTAAGATTTTAGCAGACTCTTACATGATCTTCCATTATAACCTTTGTGTAGGTTTAAAATTGTATATACTGCTTCTTCACTTTATATATTTGACATAGTTTGATCAGTAAGTGTATATACTCTTACGCGTTTAGATGTTCCCAACAGATGCAATGGGTGGTTACCTTCTCTTCCTCTTAAAGGAACATGGTCAATATTGACCAGCTCTGCTGTACTTAATTAAGGATTGTGCTTTTAAAATGTATTTGTAATTAAATCTGCAAATATTTTTATTATTAGGAATCTTAATACTTTTCTACAAAAGCTTTTTTGTTTACTTTTGATCATATTGAGCATTAATATTTGCAATTACTACTTCTTCTAAGATGTAAGTAGTGGAACATATTACAAATGCAAAAGCAGAACCTTCCCTCATTTCCTTCTCAGAGCAAACCTTAGTAGTGTTGTTGTATAATACAGTATTGCTTCATTGCTGCAGCAATGTTATATGTTGCATTATTGGGATAGAAATGTAACTAGTAGATGAAAATTTTGGCCATATGGGTAATATTTGTGGTTTACTACTAAATGGAGAAAAATTCTTTAAGGTTTTAACTGATGATCTTTGACTCCCTTTTGGATTTTTTTATGTCACTTTATCTGTGCATAGTGTTGCAGCATAAGCAACTCCGTAGGATATGGGTAGCATATTTCAGCCTTTTCTGTGATGGAAACCACATGCCTGTTTGTATCCTGCCCTTGTTACTTAGTTGTGTCCTACATCCAAGAACCTGTCTGTACTTGAAGGCAGTCAGAAGGATCTTCAGTTCTACCCTATAGTTCCCATCTGAACACAGCAGTGCTGGTTGACAGATCCAGGTATGTACCAGTACACAGTTTCAGTGGTCAGATTTCACACGTAGCTCTTGCCTATTTTTATCCAAGTCAAAGGCGGAAAGGTGGAATGGGAAACATCCTGATGGACCATTGGAGAGAACAAGCTGGGGTGGCCTATCCAAAGCTGGGGCAGGAGTCCTGGGCATGTTCTGCTCTGCATCAAATGCTACTGCTTCAGACATGAAGGCCTTTTTTCAGGGAAGCCCAGTGCTGAATGGGATTGACACAGAGGTTCTGTGATGTATGCAAATGCTTGTATGTATTATCTCAAAACCCAAATTGTTGCAGTATTAAACATGTAGTCTGCCTCGCAGTTTTTCAGGCTGAGGTCTCAGGGTACTGCGATTCATGTCAGGATGTACCATGATGACTACATATGGGTCACACTGCTAAATACTTGATTAATTAGCTGAGTGGAAGTACATTGAAAAGGAGGCATGTTTCCTCATCTCTGTTGTTAACAGCTACAGAGTGAGCTTAAAGGTGAAAATACTCAAATACAACTTGTTTATCTTAAAGTTTAGATACCTTTTATTATAGACAAGATATGGGAGTTCTCCCTCCCCCTTCCTTTTTTTTTTTTTTTCTTCTTTCCTCCTAAATATTTTACAGTGATTTTTAAGCCACTAGTTCTGTGCTCTAATATTCATGCAAAAAATTCCTGGAAGAAGTGGTACCAATAGAAATTGCTGATACAACAGTGACAGTAGTCTCACCCAACGGCATGTTTTTCTTTTGAAGCTGTCAGTAATTAAAAGAAAGGTGGCAAAGACAGCACATATACCTTTTATTCTCTGGTGGTATTTGTCATCCAAGCAGTGATCAGGAAAAATGGTTCTTGCTTTTAAAAATTAAAAAAAAAAATAAAATAAAAAAATCATGAATTAGCATTCAATAAAATACATTCATTCCTAGGAAGTGTATTTTTTTTATAAAGCCAATGTTTTTGGCTTTTGCACTGCTACTGTCCTGATTTAATTAGATTATGTTCCTTTTATTTGTAGTTCAGTCAGTTTCTTCTGTGGACAGTATTTCAATTTTAAGATGCTGTCTCTTCTGATACTCCAATAAGGGTAATGCAATACTGTTGTATTTTATAATGGATACATTGAATGTTTGATTTTTGAAGAGGTGGCTGTAATATAACTGTTTGTATGACTTCTAAAAAGTTTATATTTTCCATTTATTGGTGTGTAGTTTTCCATTTCTTAATCATTATTTATTATGTTTCATCAGATTGTAGTTGAGTTTCTTATAGACAACTGATAAAATACAGCATATGTCTATTAAAAATTGCAAATTTACACTGTACATTTACACTTTGAAGAACAGTGGACTAATGGAAATGCTTTTTATTTACTTGTTAAAATGTATTTTTTGTAAAAAATAAAAAACTATATAAATCTGAGTTTGCAGGATCAAAACTTGTATATGATCAAATGCAATGTTTTTGTTTATAAATAAATACTATACAGAATGACTAGTATTTGTCTTATTTCAAGTATTGGGTCTTAAGAGCAAGCTGGCTCAGTTGGATGGTGAGCAGATGACTTGCACACACCAAGGCTGCCTTCAAACTAGGTGGGCATCTTAACTGAGCCCTAGCCAGCTGGAAAGGGGGCTGCACCTGGTATGGAAATGTTCTGGTTAAGGAAAGAGCGCTGCTCTTATAATCCGGGGCATTTCACGGAAGTTCTGGTTTTAATATACAGGCATATTTCTGTGCTTTCTGCTGTGCACATGGGATTTAAAATCCAGCACAAGGACTTGCACTGCCCTGGTTTGACCAAGCCTGGTCATCTTGTGTGGAAATCCATCAAGTTGTAAGTCCTTTTTAAAAAAATTAACAAAATAGAATCTGTTTGTTTGTTTATTTATTTAGGCATTCTGCTTTTTGACCTGTTGCGTTGGGCAGTGTAACGACAGGTGAGGTCTTCAGAGGACAAGTTTTGGCTGTAACCACAGAGCCAGTGGCTCTTTGGCCTGTTGGCAGTGGGAAGGTGGCAAGGAGTGGAGAAGCCAGAGGTGCTGGGGGAGAGGAAAAGTAGAAGCCAGTTTCTAAGGTGGTAATTTTTATATTAGTATTTTAAACAGCAAGGTTTGCATTTGACAGAAAGGGGAAATTCATAGTGGCATAGAATGGTAGGGGTTGGAAGGGACGGCTGGAGATGAGTCCAACACCCCTACCCGAACAGGACCGCCTAGGGCAGGTGACACAAGAATGTGTCCAGACAGGTCTCCCGAGTCCAGAGGGGACTCCACAACCTCTCTGAACAGCCTCTTCCAGTGCTGAAGCTTTTCCTCGTCTTGAGCTGGAACTTCTAGGTCCTCGTCCTTATCCCAGGGCACCCTGAACATCGACGGGCCTGCTCTTCTTCGACACCCCCCCCTTCAGATATTGGTAAACATAAGATCTCCTGTAAGGAGGGATCCAAACAGCCCCAGGTCTCTCAGCCTTTTCGGGGACCGGTTGCCTTTTTGACCAGTTCAAATGTAAAAAACCTCAAATACAGCCATATCTCCTTTGGGGGGAGGGATTTCCCACAACGAGCCCTCGCTCCCCTTTTCGCTTTCATAGCCGGGAAACCCCCACACTTCCCGCCCGGAGCGAAGGCTCGGGTGGGCACCGGAGCCAGCGGGGCTGGCGGGGACACCACCGGGGCTGGCGGAGACACCGGGGCCGGCGGGAACACGCTGCAGCC